GCTAAAAATTTTAAAAATCTGACAAAATTTTAAAAGTTCACGACAGTTACAATTTTTTTTAAAGAAACATTTTTTCTTTTTAAACGAAAACAACAGGTTGACTTGCAACTCGAATGCACATCCAAATGATTTTAGTTTAAGTTATGGAGTAAAAAGTAAGATATTTTTAAAGGGATAAAAAATGTTCACAAAAATCTTTCAGGTATAATTAATTTAATTCAAAGTAAGACTGATCAGTATTTGATTATAATTAACTGATCAATGATATTAATTTCAAAGTATGGTATTGAGTAATTCTAAATCAAAATGTTTTCAAAAGAATCAAAGCTTCCTCTTTGTATTAAAAGAAAGTTAATGCAGCCATCTCTGCTGTGTCAGAAAATTTAAACAGAGCGTTCTTTTTAATGTCCTATAACTCAAAAACTATTGCGTGAAACGATAATGGAATTGTGCACTTTCTAGATAAATGTTTAAAGAAAATTCTGATAACAAAATGTTATTGATGAAGTCATTAATTCTTGAGTTCCTTGATGTTGAAGAATAGAATGTTACGCATTATTCAGTTCAGCGAGAACTATTAACACAATTATTTAATTTAATTAATGATATATATATATATATATATTATTATTATATTATACGATACTTAAGTCTGGGTTTGAAAGGTGGTCGAGGAAGTAGTACAGCACATAATGTAGCATTGGGATAAGTTTTTTTTTATCTCACTACAGAGAGGGACATAATTTTAGTACTTCCACTACTTACTATGCTGAAATGTCCCGAATTCATATTTATGGTGGTTTGTGTGATTTAATCTAGAGGGTAGATTTTGAGTTATTACTAAAATTCAATACATAAAGAACGTTGACAATATCACGGACATCTCTTGAAACAAGTTAAAATTGAAATCAAAATACTTTTGTCCATACAAAGCCGCGGGTAACAGCTACAGGGTGAAAAATTTGGTTAATATACTGTTTAGAGCTAATTAAGGTCATAAGATTGGAGGTGGGGTTCAAGAGTTAGAATATTTAAATAAAGTGGTGCTGTGCTTTCGTCTTTATTACCATTAAAGTTTATGTGCAGTACAAAAAGTTTTTGAGAGGTGACCAAGTTGATCATCAAAGGTATCTACTTTATATAAACATAATTTTTTTTTAAAAATCTTTTTATTCAAAAAAAGATTAAAATAATGTAAAATTCAAAGTTTTTCAAGAATGTAGTTTTAAATAGTAATATACAAAATAAATAAATAAATAAATGAAAATAAAATATACTCAAAAAGAAAGAAATATTAGAAATTTAAGAATTAGAAATTTAAGGTGCAGAGAGCAAAATTGAAAATGTACCATCTTGAAGGACTTTTGATCTAATGATCGGATCTCCTCAATCTTAATGGTTCGACAGTGTAATCTCAAATACGCTGTTGAGTGAAGACGATATTTTAAATTCAAAATCAGACCCAAAAACATATTTTCTCTGAATAAACATACCTTTAATTTCGACAGATTCGGATTTTTGACCCCTAAAATAGCCACAATCTGAGAAATATGGCCCCAATAGTTTGGTCAGGAGAGCAAACCCAAAAGTTATATTTTGCATGGTATTATCTTTGGATAAAAGAATTTTATAATTGTGTGCAAAAATGTTTCAATTTGCTTAAAAAGTTCTCGGGATATGGTGAAATACGCAAAACTAAAATTAACATTAAGGAGTCCAAACTTTGAACCGTTCTCCTGACCAACCTGACCACGAAATATTGCGACCATATGTCTCAGATTGCGGCTACCTTCTATATTTTGGGGATCCGAAATCTGAATCCGTCTGAAAAAGGTATGTTCATTCAGAGAAAGTACGTTTAATACATCGTTAGCACTAATTAATTAGCAGATTTGTAGTCATCCGCTCGAATCATCAAGATTGAGTCCTTCCTAGAACGTGAAGATCTGATCATTAGATCAAAACTTATTCAGGTTGGTAAGTTTATTTTTTTTCACGCACTGTACAACAATCAAAAAACGAACCTTTATGGGTCTTTCAAGATCTGGCTGCTTATATCTGAGCCATACCATTCCTGATACTGACAGAGTGACAAAGAGAGCTTCGACAAATGCTGTGTAGTTTATTAAAACATAAACTTCAGTCGTTGATAGATAGGCTAAGCTCAAGATGCACTGAAAAAGGAACATGAAATTATTCAGTACATACTAGTAATTTCACCAAAGAAATCCTATTTTAGCTATTAAGGGTTAATTTTAGTTAAATTATTCTGGCTTGTTCATTTAGTCCGGTGAGAAAACACTGCAGATCAAAAAGTTAAATCTAACTGAGAATAAAAAGTGCTAACACTAGGAAGTGAAGTTTTGAAGTCATACGAGCGCAAATAATTAGCTTTTTCCTTTTTGATTCAGAATTTAAGTAGATTCTAGAGTCGTGAAGATGAAATCGGTTATACTGAGGCAGTTGAAAATAAAATGCGTATTCTAGGTAAATTGATCATAAGTGATCAAATTTAAATCTGGCATTGAGAAAGAGTGGAAAGATATCTCGGGGATGTGTGGAATCGAGTTTAGAAGCTAACTTAATTATTACACAGTGACTAGAATTTTGCAAGGAAAGTTTATATAGTGTCACTTGTCAAGCAACCTTTTTAATAGTAAAAAGGGTAAATTTCGTTCTAAGGTAGTGAAATCCTAGTGAACGGAAATAGAAAGAGGTAGAAATAAAAAAAAAACCGAGAAGAATAAAAAAAAATTACCGGGACAAAAAGTGTTGTTGTTGTTGTTAATTTACGTCGCACTAGAGCTGCACAATGGGCTATTGGCGACGGTCTGGGAAACATCCCGGAGGATGATCCGAAGACATGCCATCACAATTTTGATCCTCTGCGGAGGGGATGGCACACCCGCTTCGGTAGCCCGACGACCTGCGCGCGAAGTCGAGCACTTTACGGTAGCACAGTTTATCGAGGACCAATACCGCACACTCTCGGTCCCTACTCAGACTGATCCAAGTGGTCACCCACCCGCACACTGACCGTAGCCAGTGATGCTTGACTTCGGTGATCTGCTGGGAACCGTGTCTTAACGATCAGTCCACTGCGGGACGGGACAAAAAGTGAGTAACACCACTAAAATTGTGACTGTATGTGCATTAGTTAAAATATCACCTTTTGATAACATTGATAGTAAATGTTTTTCGAAAAAAACTTTTTCAATTTTGTCAAATGTATTAGTTAAAACAGATCTTTGAAAAAAATTGCAACTCTCATATTTTTACGGTGCGAAATTGTAAGAGGGATCTATATTAGTTACGAGCAATTACGGTGTGTTGTAAATTAGACAGACGGTTTTCAAAATTTTATAACTGGAAAACAGATAAGGTTGAAAATATATTTCTTGTAACAAAATCAAGTGACAAAGCATGACTTTTTCTCCCAGAATTCCTTGCTTTAGTTCAATAAATTTCCGATAAATGATGTCATAAATCCCTTCAACCTTTTCTTCCATGGGTCCTCCTATGTTGGACTGAATGATAATGAGATTGCTGATATTTTAGCCAAGATTGCCTTTGCTGATATTTTTGTCTGGAGAATTAAACCAAAATGAATACTTAATTGAAGTAAAGAATTCTAGGGCATCAAACTTTCTATGTTAGGACTACTTAGTGGAGTATTTCACATTAAAAATAATTTATTTGTTGTTCATTATTACAGTATTAAATTCAAAAGATTTCATATAAAAAATCATTTACTTACCAGAAACACTAAACTAGGAGCTGGAGTCAAATAGTTTAGGTTTATCATTGAAAGGAAAGAGGGTAAATGGCCTTCCCTAGCTCCAACAAAAAACAGTCTGCAAAATATATATTTAAAAAATGTATTCATTAATTTCAAAATATGGCAGCAACTTATTCAAAAATTATGATCCCGATTGTAAACATTAAGGAATGAAAAATATTTAAATTTTTTTATAGTTAATTCTTTTTACCTTTTAATTGAATAATAATTATTTTGAGTAATGCTTATTTCAACTTGTCGCAATTATTTCCGAAGATGAAATTAAAAAGTAAAAAGAGATTTTAAGATCCCAAACATTTAACTTTTCTGAGACCCGCTATCACTAATATTTAAAAAGTCAAAAATTAGATTTTGTTTATAATAGTTTTTAACTAAGTTCGATTTTGTGTCTAATTACGAAACTAAATAAATCTTATCTTAGAACGATTGTTTAAACAATGAAGATTGTATTTTAAGTAAGTCGAAATCTGGTAATTAGGTCAAAAATCACTTCTTTGTCAAGTGAAATTTGATAATCGTACATATTTAATAAACCTATTACTAAGAAAATAGATAACGTAAAAATATATGACTATTAAATTCTTTTCTGTGATTTATCATGCAAATTAATTTAGCTATATTTGATTGTTAGAATACATTTGAAGTGAGATTCAGCTGAAATTAACAGCAATTCATAAAGAAATTATTTTACCGGGCTGAGGCAAATATATTTCCATTCAATCCTCCAAATGTGGATAGAGCAACAGAAAATGGCATTATCCAGGACATGACGCCAAGAACTTTTTCTCCGAAAGTCTGTAAATAAAGAATTGCTTTATTCTTTTTTTTTTTTTTAAACAATTGCATTCAGATGCAGATTACATACAGTTAAATCTTATTCTTTAGTTAGATCTTAACTCGCAATTTTAATCTTTACTCATTATTTAAATCTAAACTCGTTATTTCAATCTTTACTCGTTATTCAAATCTAAACTCGTTATTTCAATCTTAACTGGCAATTTTAATCTTTACTGGTTATTTCAATCTTAAGTCGTTATTTCAATATTAACTCGCTATTTTAATTTTAACTCGCTATTTAAATTTTAACTCGTTAATTTTTTTGAATAGAAATGCCTTTTTTTAGCTTAATGCTGCAATTTGGGACTGATATTTAAATAATTATGATAAAAGAGCAATTTGTAAAAATTCTATAATTTTAAATTATCTTTGCTTATTATTATACGATTGTATACCTTCTAAGATTTGAGGCATTTGCAAAATATTTTTTCAGTAGTGGTGAGTTAAAACCTATATCTTTAAAACAAGAAGAACTTTTATAAATTTTTTTTATCAGGATTTAAGGAGATACTAAATTGTCAATCTTGCAATTTATGTATTCGTTTCAGTTTATATAGAGTGGCGGAAAAAATTCTTTTAATTTTATAAAATATTAATGTTTTACATTTGTTAACATTATGAAAAATATTTTCTAAAACTACGGAAATTTCGTAATAGTTAGAGGGTAAGTGACTGTTTTTTTTTTATTGCAATAAATTTTCTTTCCTAAATTTCGCTTCCACAACTCATTGAAAAATTGGAAAAAAACTTGTAATTTCGTACCACTGCCACAGCATTTGAGGAAAGAACTTCGTCTGGCGTGAGTACAGCAAAGTAAGCTACATTGGCTAATACATAAATGACTGTGACTAGAGGAAGAGAAATGTAGATGGCTCTAGGCAAATTCCTAATTTGGAAAACAATAAAACACTTATTAAATACAAGATTACAAATCATTTTTTTTTTCAAAATGAAAGATGAGTAAAACTTACTTGAAAGGATCTTTCAGTTCTTCGGTTACAAAATTAAGGAAATTCCTAAAAAAAAAAAATTAACATGAAAAAGTTCGTGTTTTTACAAATATTTATAGCACGACATTTATTTTAATAAGAATAATGGTAAAGAACAATAATACATTTTTTTAATCGATTTTTTTCACGTAAACTGTTAAAAAATTGCTTCTAAATGTGGGAAGAAATATTTTACACATATGGATTATAATTGGTACTCCGTATTGGGAGTAATTGTGCATAAAGTTAATAATTTTCTTATAATATATAAAAGCAAAAACAATCAGTGAACTTGCCTGAATAAGGATACTATGTATATTTATTTCGAATTGTATATAAAAATTTTTTGCTTAGTAACCTATCAAAATTAGATAAAAAAGGTACACGACTACAAAATATTCAGAATAAAGTACAGCAAAAAATATCCGTAAAATCAATTTTATTGTAAAATCTATTTTTACCGTAAAATTTTATGCCGTAATTTTCACTGTATTTATTTAATGACGCTGATTCATTGATTTTGCAATAAATACTTCTTTGAAAGTTAGGATATATCAGATTTTTTTGTTCCATAAACTTTTACAGTAAAAATTTTAATTTATTATTTCTATGAAAATAAATAAAAGTGCCACTTTCATTTATTTTCATAGAGTGCCGAAACTTTTTAACGCAATTTAATCAGGAATTTTTTACTGTGTACTTCTTAAGGACTTCTATGTGGCAAAAATGGGCACTCGCATAAATACTTATACCTATCACTAATTCAATTCTTGCAACTCGAGAGGAAGTGAAGTGATTAAGCCAAACCAAAGATAGTATAAGTTCTTTGGCCAAACCAAGTGATTTAAATCAAATTTAATTGGATACTCGAACCCCATTGGCTTCTGAATCGATAAATGCGGTTATTTACCTACGATGACGTCACTTGTAGGTATCCAGTTAAGTACTTGTGACCTTGATCATCATCTCACCTTTCATGGAACCAATAATATTTTAACTACGTACTCTGACTAAACTCAGTTAAACATACAGTTAAATATGAAAGTAAATACAACTAATTTGACGTTTAGGAACTATAAGGCTTTAACTAATTATGTTAATCATAAAATTTTGCATTATAAGGTCATATCATGTGATAATTTTATAAGAAAGAGATACGTTTAGTTTCACAACAGAGTATTATTATATTATTTATTAGAATAATATGAAAATTATACTAATAAATAGAATATGAAAATTATTTCAATAAATAAAAAATATTTATATATGATAAAAATATTGCTGGTAAAAGCTGTTATAACTTTTATTAGCTTCATGCTGATGATGCAAAAATATCTGGATCTTCTCTGTTCATTAATGATCATGTAATTTTTTCTTGTCCAATGAGAATGCTCGTCACTGTCAAATGACAGTTATCTTTAGATTATACGAAAAGAACTAAATAGAAAACAAATACTTACCATCCTGCATAGGAAAACAATCCTGAGTAAAATGAAAGAGCTATGTAACCAGGCTCAGTTCTTGTACCTTGGAATGCATTATCGAAGTTATGACTGCGTCCTTTAAGATGAAAACATAAAATTAAAGGACTAAACGGAACAAATACTTATTTTCAACATTTTCATGAGTGTGTGTGTGTTTTTTTTTAAATCTTCAAAGTGCATTATGGTTACTTCATTTTAATTTTTCTAAATATATTTATAAAATACATCAATTTATTAAAAAACTTAATAATACTATGTATTATTAAGTAACTCATAATAATACTATGTAACAATGAGTTTACATAATAATACTATGTAAACTCATAAATGAAAAAACAACCAAATAATTTTATGAACTAATTAGTGCAAGTAGCATTCCATTAAAATTCATTAATAATGACTTTTCTTGAAGCTAAAAAAATATTGTAAAGTTAGCGAAAACAATTGAAAATGCTAAAAACATATCTCATAGCTTCATTGCTTTAAGTTAAATGGTTCAAGAGCCCGATACGGATATGAAATTGGAGCTCAAATTGAAGGTTCTATATTACAAGCTTAATGATATATGGTGCTAGAGAATTTATCTGACATAATAACAAATATGAGGAAAAATTTCCAAGAACATTTATTCTGTTTTGTTATATTTAAGAGGTTATGAAACATATAGTTTCATTTTAAATATGTACATATTTAAAATTAAACTATAATATTTATCTCATTTTACTTTTATAAGTAGGATATTTTTCATCGTTCTTATTTTATTAGTATTTTATTAGTTATTAGAAATGCAGAGTTTAAAAAATTTCGAGGACAAACACAATATTTCAAGTGTATAATATTCTTTTAATTATTATATTCGTTTTTATTCTATTAATATCATAGTAGTTAAAAAAGAAAAATAATTAAAAATATTCCCATTACAACATTCCTTCTATTTAATTATATTTAACAGGTTATGAAAGGGAATACCTATTTGAAGTGAAACTATAATATTTATCTTAGTTTACTTTTAGAAGTAGAATATTTTTTATCGTTCTTATTTTACTGGTATAACAGTAAAGAAAAAAAGTTAAAAAAATTCCAGATATATTTATTCCAGTGATCATTCTTATTTTATTGGTATCTCAGTTGACAGAAAAGAAAGAAAAAGTGTTAAAAAAATTCCAGACATATTTATTCCATTTGAATATAATTAAGAGATTATATAACACCTATTTAAAGTTAAACTATAATATTATCTTAGCTTACTTTTATCGGTATTTCTCTTTATTTGTAATGTTCTCAGTATCTTGTTTATTAATAATAAATAAAGAGTTGAAGAAAAATTCCAGTCATATTTTTTACGTTTCATTAATGTTAAGAGAATATCAGAGAGAACCCACAAAATATGAATTATTTTATGCATCGAAGCAGGCTCATTAAAACTCAGTGCAATTATGTGATACAATTGAGTTTGAAAACACAATTAAAATCAGTACAATAATTTTAATGAAAAACGAATACAGTTATTAAATTACATTACCCATGCACATATGATATGCTCCGGCAATGATGATGATGATTAAAGCTGCAACTTTAGCGAAGGTGAACACATCTTGAACGCGAGTAGCCCACTCCACGTTTCGACAATTTATATAAGTTAATAAACCTGAAAATAATACTGTCCATTAATTTTTATGAATTGTAAAAAAGTAATAATAAATCATGGAAGTTATAATTTTTTTAATGGTATCGTATTGTTTTTTTAAAGTAATTTTATGTAAATAGTATATTTATGGAAATAAACGTTTGACAACATGAGGAAGCTTCATTCGTAAATAAAGATTATAAGCATAATAAAACATGTTTAAATCATCTGGGTTTACAAACAAAAAATTTTCTCGCATGAGTTCAAATTAAAAAAAAAAAAATGGCTGAGTTTTTAAAACAACAACTTTTAAACATTTTCAAAATCATATTGAAAGAAAAAAAAGGTTATTAACCACAGGTACAATTTTTAAAAAACCATTTTCTTCATTCCAAATACACAGTGATCTATATTTCAATAAATTTTTTTTAAAATTTTTGTTGTAAAATTATTTATATACTACATTACTTTATATACATATATATTTAATTTAATTGTCAATTAATAATATATTAATAGAAGAAATAAATACAGTTATATAAATTTGTAAAAACTAAGTTCATCTAGTTTTAAGCGTTTACAACTTTATTATTTTGAAAATTTTTTATATCTTGATAATCACAAGATATAGACAAGATGAGACTTTTACTTCTTGATAATTACCATGTTTATATCAACTTGCCTTCGTGTATGTCTGCTCGGGTGGAATTTTGTAATCGATTTTAAACTAACTTACCGACAAGCTACAGACTTCGAATTTGGCGCATAGTTCAGAATTGGATGACAATGCATGAAAATGAAGAGAAAAAAGACATACAAAGTAAAATAAAATTAAAATTAAAGAAAAATTAATATTTTCGCGATTGTCTTTTGTTGTCGATTTGATTATTTCAAATTAGTGTCACATGTCAGTTAAGTTTTGTGTACTGTGAGTGAAAAAAATGACATTTTGGAAGTAAGTACAAAAAATAAAATAAAAATAATATTTTTAAAAACAATGTTTTTGTAGTGGAGAATAATAATTAAAAAACAAAAATTTGAAAAACGAAAAACGTGGGGCGCATGAAATACATAACAGTACATATACACATACAAACACACATTACTTACTCGTACACATGCACAATCACATCAAGATACAATTACACATATTCTCGTGAGCACACATACTGTTACTGTAATGTATTTCATGCGCCCCACGTTTTTAAATTTTTTTTTGGCAATTTAATTGGCAATTAATAATATATTAATAGAAAAAATAAATACAGTTATATAAATTTGTAAAAACTAAGTTCAACTAGCTTTAACCGTTTTCAACTTTAATTCTTTGAAAAACTTTTACTTCTTGATAATCACAAGAGTAATTTATAAAAAGTGCATTCATTTGCTAATTTATGCAATAAAATATTATAAATGTCTTATGTGTTAATACAAAATCAGAACTTCTTTTTAAAATATACTCGCATGGGCAAGAATAACATGACATAACATGTTACGAAAAATTTGAATACTTAAATTTTTATTCAAATTTCAGATTTATTAAAGACTAGCTGAATACCCATTTTCGTAAATGAAAGAATAAATTATCAACACTAAGAAATCCGGCTCTAAACTGTATCAAAACATTTAGTAAAGCTAAAATAATTTAAATTTTATTCTTTTCTTAATTTTTGTTGTCCTTCAGATTGATTGTTAGATTAAACAAAACACGTTTTAAAAGTTCAACTTATCAAAATTAAGATTAATTATACTCATTATAATTAAGCATGATGTTATTGCTTGCGATCTACTTACTCATGATAATTGAAATTTATCTTAATCAATCATTTTATTCCCTTAATTTTGCTTTTTAGTTCATGGGTTATTTTTTCAAATTTTAATTAAAAACGAATTATTTCGTTTTACAGAGACGCTTTTCAAAAGCGTAACTATAAACAAAATAAACGTGGTTTTAGATAATTTATAAAAATTTTAATTGGGTACTTGTGCACTTCAAGAAAAAGACCTCCCCACATGTGACCTCTATGACGTCAGCGATAGCTAATCTTTATCAGCAAAATGGCGTATTAAATTTAGGCTAAATTTCTTTGCATTAATTAGAATGTTAATTAATGATACGCTAATTAATCACAGAGCTGTATAACACATCGAATTAGTTGAAATACAATTCTCTCTCGCCTACTTCTTTTACTTGACTTAGATTTATTATTTGTTTATGCATTTTATTTAAACTGTGATATACTTTTGTTTTCTGTACCTGGCAACTTCGATGCATAATTAGTTTGTTCATGTTCCACATGGATTCGTACCTGTCCTTGTGTTAAGTCTCTGTGTAAATATGTAGTAAAGGAATTGAAATCGTTGCGAAAGATTATAGAATGTGTCATTTAAGAGAATTGATATTTGACTGTCTTGGCTTACTTAAAATAGAATGGGAAGAACAGTTGCTAACTTAAACAAATTCCACGTTTTAACAACCAATCAGGATCGAGGTACCCACACTACGTCACTTGCAGGTATGCCATTCTGTGACATTATTCCACATTGGTTATGCTATGATTGCATAACATCAAAAATGAATAATTGAATAACGCGCAATAGATTTTCAGGGAATTTCTGTTTTCTCTCAAACTGAATTGTAAATCACTAAATATCATTGATGCCAATTATTAATATCTAACTAACTGAAACTCGACTATTTAACTTCTTGTAATTTTTAATATTTTTAAAGATTTAAAAAACGGAATCATCTGCAATTAAATTTATAACAATGCATAATGTTAAACAAATGAGAAGAAATAATTTTTCAAGCATCCCCACTACGCGTTCTAAAAGTATTTTTTAAACGAGTTATAGGATTGAGGGTTAAAATTCCTCCTTTTATGATTTTCAAATGAAAGCTGGTCTTCATTGTACTCTAAATTGTAATTTTTTTTGACAATCACTAAAAAATTATCATACCTATTCATACTTTTTGGTACATCCATTTCACAATTATATTAATTTTTTGTATTCCTATTCGGTTGATACATAATTGTCGCACTGATCAGAATTAATTTCAGTCGGTGTGTTGGGTTTGGACTTCTCATATCACAGTTTCCAGTGCTGGTAAAAGCTAGGTCTTTGATTGGACTTCACTTTCTCCAATCGTGAGTTAGTGATTTGGAATCATTCTAATGTAATGTTCCCGGTGGTTTCTAAGCCAGAAAAGTCAGCGCACCGTTAGACGGTTGCGGAGAGTGGTGCACAGGGCGGGTGATTACCACTACTTACCTGACCTCTGGTCTAAATTATGGTATAGTAGAGCAAGCACGTGCCAGTATTATCTTTGGCTATTTATTAAGATAAAATTCGAGACAGTCGTGAATAAAGTATGACGTTAAAAACCAAAGTTATAATTTACGTCATTGTAAGTAATTTTATTTGGGCAATCAGTAAAAAGTATGTCTGAACAGTATATTTATTTGAAGGTGAATCATTTGTGGGTTTAAGAATTATAAGTCATTTTTAAGCATTCTAAACAAAAGAATAAAAAATGGATTTTTTGACATCGAAGTTAGACATTAATGTTACAAATTTGCATATTTTTTTCGGATATATCTGCTCATAGCTGAAAAGATTCGTAGAAGCAAGTCCTAACGGGACATTTTTGAAATATTTGAGGCTTCACGTTCATCTTGTTTTAGTTTTATTATCTGTACAACATAAATTTATTTTACTAAGTTATCAAGTTTCGATGTTCTTATGGGATAAAGATACAAACTGAAAGAATGTTATTGTTTTTTCGAAATGTATGAAAGTGCCAACTGAAAGTTTATAAACAAGAAATAAAAACAAGGTATAATTACATTAATCTTTAAACTGTCAACGAATAACTCTGGAGAGCCTCTCTGTTGGCAAATTTGAAAGTCCAAACGCTATGACTTGATTATTTCAAATTAACGATAAGGATGAAATATATTGCCAATTAAAGTTTTATGAGGAAGAAATAAAAAAATGGCTAAATCTTCATTTCCTTCAGCCAATGTGCCAACTTTAAAAGTTGATTTATTTGAATTAACATTCACAGCTCTTCAACTTACGTTGATAAATATGGAGAAAATTATTTCAGTGAATGGTTTTAGATTTTTTTCCCTAATATATTTTATATTGAAATGATTTAACTACAAGCAAATTTTAATGTTATAAAAATAAAATACTTTTGCGATGTATTTTACATTTGTATAAATTTAATACTTACACAAAACTGATCCTGCAATCAGTCTGATTGCTAAAGGCGGTATATTGCAGCCAGGAAAAAATGGTGCTAGAACATAATTTGCAAAAGTAATGGCAGATATTGCCTTACCTGCAGGTCCTGTCACTACAACTCCTACCCATATATACATGAAGGGTATTAATTCGCCGTACATGGTATTTAAATACGTAAAATCACCACCAGATTTTGAAAAAGTTGTTCCAAGTTCTATGTAACTTAGAGCCTGAAGCATGCAAATGAAACCACTGACTACCCATATCACTAAACTCATTCCAACAGACCCAGTTTGCAACAAAATTCCTTTCGGCAGTAGAAAAATACCAGTTCCAATTATACTACCAACAGTCATCATTACACCATTCCAGAGTCCGATATGTCTTTTTAATGCAACATTGTTAAGTGGTATCTCATCCTCCGAACTTGATAACACAGACTTCAATTCAATCAAAGGTGATTTTTCTTCCATTTTTCGCATTTCGCCTTAAACTCGATGTTCAGGGAAAAATTCGCCTCAAAGTTTCAATTTTAAATTTCGCATCTATATACAGACATCAAGCTTGCAAGATTTTGGGGGCCTATATGAACATGATCAAAATCAAAAGAATAACTTTCAATTTTTGCATTTGTTGTCGTTGCTGAAATGGAATTACTTTTCAAATATTAAAAAAATTAGGTCGAAAACGCTTTTCATGTTCGCATACCTGTGGCTTTTCAACATATTGACAATGTGAGCCATTTTCATAATAGCTGTAGAGAGCCCTGG